TGGAGGTAAAGACCCAAGCTTTATCCATTTCACTCTGAGTGAAATGAGAAGCCAATGGAGGGTTTCAAGCAGACACAGGACATGATGTGACTTACATTTTAAAAGCATTCCTTTGGCTGCTGTGGGAACTGGACTATGGGAGGCAAGGATGGAGGCATGAACACCATATAGGAGACTGCTGCCACAGTAGTCCAGGCAGGAGATGGTGCAGTTCTCCTAGGATTGCTTCTACTTTCTCATGGAGTAAGTGGGAAGATCTCCATGCGAGGGTATGATGGAGGCTTGCAGGGAGATGAGAAAGTGTGATAGTCATATGGAAAGCGTGATAGGACTGCTGCCCACAGCTGGCATATAACAAGCAGTTTGCTAACATGCTTGCTTACCTCCGAACCTCTGGGACCCATCTCACTGTGCATCTCTCTTCCTCCTGTCCAGTCTTCTTTCCTTCATTCTGTTTCTTGTCCTATGACTCCAGTTGACCTTCAGTGGGCTTTAAGAACCCAAGCACTGATTAAGAAAATGACAACCTGCTGACACATCCAACTTTTTTTTTTTTTTTTTAGACAGGGTCTGGCTCTCTCACTCAGGCTGGAATGCAGTGACATGATCTCAGCTCACTGCAACCTCTACCCCCTGAGCTCACATGACCCTCCTACTTCAGCCTCCTGAGTAGCTGTGACTACAGGTGCACACCACTACACCCGGCTAATTATTGCATTTTTTTGTAGGAATGGGGTCTCACTCTGTTGCCCAGGCTGGTCTTGAACCCCTGAGATCAAGTGATTTATCTGTCTTGGCCTTCCAAAGTGCTGGGCTTACAGGTGTGAGCCACGGTGTCCGGTCCACATCCAGCTTCTTATACCAAAGCCTTTCAAAGGATTTGAAGGAGCTCCTCAGAGTGCTCAGTTGTCCTTTAAAGACTCTATCTAACTATCATTCCACCACCTCACACCCAGAAGTCAATGAGGGAGGCCCAGGATTCCTATGCTCTTATTAAGACTACTCTTTCCTACCCATAATAGAAACTTCAGCAGGATTTGCGGTAGACCTGCAAGTTTCCTCATGCTCCTAGCAAGACCACCACTCCCTGCTTCCATGACATTGCTCACCTCACAACAGATGGCCTGATAAGGCAGTCTCAACAAGAGTCCACAATTGGCTGGGAGTGGTATCTCATGCCTGTAATCCTAGCACTTTGGGAGGCCAAGGCAGGAAGACCACTTGAGTCCTAGAGTTTGAGACTAGCCTGGGCAACATAGTAGACCTCATTGCTGCCAAAAATAAACAAAATTAGCTGGGCCTGTTGGTATGCATCTTTAGTACCAGCTACTCAGGAGGAGGAGGTGGGGGGATTGCTTGAGCTCAGGAAGTTGAGGCTACAGTGAGCCAAGATCATGCCACTGCACTCTAGCCTGTTTAATAGAGTAAAAAGCTGTCTCTAAAAAAAAGTCCAAAATTAGAACTGATGACCGACTTTTCTTGAAATGACCAGTAGAGCTGATCTTATCCTGATTCACATCAATCTTCAAGGAGGAAGAACTGACCATGCTCCAGGAAGATCAAGTAAAATATGGACATAAAATATCTATTTGAGTTTTCAGTTATGAGGTTCCTGGTAACATTATATAGAATAATTTCTATGGAGTTATGGCGAAGTAAAAGAATGGGAGATGAAGATGTAGATTACAGAGTATAGCCTATTCTGTAGGAGAAGCTGGCTATAAAATGATGGAAAGAGATAATGAAGCAACTAGAAAAAGGTGCCTAGTTGAAGGTGAATTGTTGTTGTTTTAATGTAGGCTAGATGCTTATAAGCTAAGGCTAAGAATCTAGTAATGAAGGAGAAATTAAAGATAACAGAAAAGGGATAATTCATCAAGGAAGTCTAGGAGAAGCCAGGAAAAGATGAGATCACAGTACAAGTGAATGTATTAGTCTTGGACAGGAGAAATGACACAGTTTCTTCTAAGATGTGTGTGAGGGTAGCAACAGGGGAACAACTAAAGAAAAGTTTATAAGTGAGGAGACAGGAAGTGAAAAGAGTTCATGTCTAATGGTATTTGTTTTTTCAAAGGAATTAATCTGCTGTTGGTGAAGGGACTGGCCAGGGCAGGATGGGTGGGGCAGGGTAGGGAAGATACTAGTATTATGTGAAGATGGTGGGCTAACCATGAAGACCAGTATGGTATTTGGGGCTCAGTTGACACTGGAGAGCCCTTATGTCTAGTGGCACCAATATACACCATTGTGAGATTTTCTCCTCCATCAACACTCAACTCCAGGACAAGGCAGATGTTTGAACTCATTCTGGGCCAGGGACTTTTGTTGGGTGGATATTGTGGCATAACTAGGGGTTGATGGGTGAGAATGCCAGTGAGAGAGCTATTAGAGTGGTTTAGGCTGTATAGGAAAGAAAGCAAGGTCAAGAGAGGGCTGATGACCTGGGAGAAAGTAGAGGCCAAGGGACTGGAAGGCATGAGCAAAGGAGTGAGGAATGGAAGAATAACCATGGTGAGTGGGATACTGGGGTTTTCGATTTCAGATACGGAATAGTTGTTGGGAATGGGAGATCAGAGTATAACCCTGGAGAAGGATGCTAATGTGGTTTAAAAGTAAGTTTCCATGGAATTGAAGAGGTGGACATGCTCCATGCATATAGGGTAGTGTCCTGGAGAATTGCCAATGATTTAGACTGGGAGGAGTTGACAGCATGAGACACAAAGCATGAATACTAAAAAGGAAGAGATTTTGCTGTAGGTGGGAAGAATAGTAGCCTGAAGTGGCACTGAGGAGCTAGAAAACTGTAACTCCTTCATTTTACTTCACTTTTCTCCTTTCTTCCAGTTTAGATCATTTATCATCCCATTTGGATTAAAGAAATAATCTACTAATTGATTTCCCTGATTTTGGTCTCACTCCAAATGTCCATCATACACAGGACTTCTAGCTTAACCTTGTGGAACAGTCTTGACAGCCTTTATTTCACTCCTGCTCAAAAACTTCAGTATCTCTCCATCTATGGAATAAAATCCAAATTCCTTAGCCTGGCCCTTAAGGTTCCAGGCATAGAGATGGCTTCAATCTACTATAATTGACCCTTGGATAATGTGGTTGCTAGGGATGCTGACCCTTGTGTGTTGAAAATTTATGTGCAACATTTTTTTTTTTTTTTGAGATGGAGTCTCCCTCTGTTGCCAGGCTGGAGTGCAGTGGCATGATCTTGACTCACCGCAACCTCCGCCTCCTGGGTTCAAGCGATTCTCCTGCCTCAGCTTCCCAAGTGGCTGGGACTACCAGCACGCACTACCACACCCAGCTAATTTTTGTAGAGACAGGGTTTCACCCTGTTGGCCAGGATGGTCTCAATCTCCTGACCTTGTGATCTGCCCACCTCAGCCTCTCAAAGTGCTGGGATATTACAGGTGTGAGCCACCATGTCCAGCCTATGTGTAACTTTTAACTCCTCCAAAACTTAACTATGGATAGTCTGCTGTTGACCAGGAGACTGACTGATAAGGTAAACGTCGATTAACACATATTGTGAATGTTAATCTGGTCCTTTCCTATTTACAAATCCAGACAAAGAGAAAGCTGCCTCTGAAGTAATGCGTTATAGCTGGGAGAAAGAGCACTGCAACTTTATTCTAAAAATAAAGTAAGCTAGAGAAAAGAAAATGTCATTAAGAAAATCATAAGGAAAGAAAATAGATTTACTGTTCATTAAGTGGAAGTGGATCATCATAAAGGTCTTTATCCTCATCATCCTCTTCACACTGAGTAGGCTGAGAAGGAAGAAAAGAAGGGGTTGGCTTTGCTGTCTCAGGGCTGGCAGAGACAGGAGAGAATCCACATTTTAAGAGATCTGCACAGTTAAAACTCATGTTCAAGGGTCAACTGTACTTTGCTTTATATATCTAGTTTGAAGCAACATCAAACATTAGCTTGTATTGGTCTAAACTCTACACTTCTTTACCTAATCTTAGAGTACTTTCCTGAAAGTGGTTTTGTTTGCTGTCTGGAATGCTTCTCCACTCCTCTCTGAGTATTCAACTCCATTTATCCTTCAAGGACCAAATCAAATACAGATTCTTCCCTGCATCAAATGACATTTCCTTTCTCTATTCTTAAAATTCCACTTTACTCCCTATATTCTAGTTAGTCCTGGACTTAATAGAAAGAACCATGCCCAGTTTTTGCTCATAACCCCAGCTCATAATACCTCGCTCATTATCTTGCTCCTTGTAGGTATCCGGTGTCTGCTAACTATATGCATTCATTCATACATTCATGAATAAATAAATAGAGCTCTTATAATGTTGTAGTCATGTTAAGGGTCAGAATCCTTCACTAGGAGATAATCTCCTCGAGGTGTAGGGTTGATATTGTATTTTTTATCCTCCATACTTAGAACCATTCTGGAAACATTGTAACCTAAGTACACAGTACAATAAAATCGTGGTAAATGGAATTGAATTAGTGTCTTCACACCTAAGTCATTCTCACTGTGTCAATCCCAAGTGCTCTAGACAGTGAACACGGTCTGTGAAACAGCAAATAGCTGTTAATATCCTGAAGTGAATAAAATGCTGACTCTTAGAACTGGATAGCAAGTCCCTTAACAGAGACCATTTATTTATTCTTTCATTCATTGAGTCATACAATGAATTGTGGTTGATCTATATACAATAACTATTATAGACACTAAGGAAAAAACAATCTGTGAAAATAAGGAGGTGAAAGAATGGGCTTAGCTTCTTGCTGGGATTTAAATGCCCTTTTTCTTAAGGAAACAAAATGCATGCCTATGTTGCATTTTCACTCTAGGATTTTCCAAGGGAAACCCTTCTTCTAAGGACTGTCATGTCACAGTAGAACTGAAAATATTCCCTACCAGTATTAAACCTGAAAGGAAACAAGATTTACCAAGCACAGTGAGCCTTCCAGAAAGCAGACAGCTCATGTTTTTAAAGTAATCTCTCCTTTTTCTCCTGTTTGGCCAGGCTGTGACAACATGCTGATGAGCATAAAGTCTCTGAAAATAGTGAAGAAGATGATGGACACACATGGCTCTTGGATGAAAGATGCTGTCTATAACTCTCCAAAGGTGTACTTGTTAATTGGATCCAGAAACAACACTGTTTGGGAATTTGCAAACATACGGGCATTCATGGAGGATAACACCAAGCCAGCTCCCCGGAAGCAAATCCTAACACTTTCCTGGCAGGGAACAGGCCAAGTGATCTACAAAGGTTTTCTATTTTTTCACAACCAGGCGACTTCTAATGAGATAATCAAATATAACCTGCAGAAGAGGACTGTGGAAGATCGAATGCTGCTCCCAGGAGGGGTAGGCCGAGCATTGGTTTACCAGCACTCCCCTTCAACTTATATTGATCTGGCTGTGGATGAGCATGGGCTCTGGGCCATCCACTCCGGGCCAGGCACTCATAGCCATTTGGTTCTCACAAAGATTGAGCCAGGCACACTGGGAGTGGAGCATTCATGGGATACCCCATGCAGAAGCCAGGATGCTGAAGCCTCATTCCTCTTGTGTGGGGTTCTCTATGTGGTCTACCGTACTGGAGGCCAGGGCCCTCATCGCATCACCTGTGTCTATGATCCACTGGGCACTATCAGTGAGGAGGACTTGCCCAACTTGTTCTTCCCCAAGAGACCAAGAAGTCACTCCATGATCCATTACAACCCCAGAGATAAGCAGCTCTATGCCTGGAATGAAGGAAACCAAATCATTTACAAGCTCCAGACAAAGAGAAAGCTGCCTCTGAAGTAATGCATTACAGCTGGGAGAAAGAGCACTGTGGCTTTGGCAGCTGTTCTACAGGACAGTGAGGCTACAGCCCCTTCACAATATGGTATCCCTCTAATCACACACAGGAAGAGTGTGTAGAAGTGGAAATACATATGCATCCTTACCCAGATGTCACTGCCTTAGGTATCTTCCAGGAGCTTAGATGAGAGCAAGAGCATATCATTAGAAAAGTTTCAACAATGTCCATTACTCCCCCAAACCTCCTGGTTCTCAAGGCTGACCACATTCTGATACAGCTTACTTCAAGCCTTTTCTTTTACTCCCCCCCAGCATTTACTGTAACTCTGCCCTCTTCCCTCCCACAATTAGAGTTATATACCAGCCCCTAATATTCACCACTGGCTTTTCTCTCCCCTGGCCTTTGCTGAAGCTCTTCCCTCTTTTTCAAATGTCTATTGATATTCTCCTATTTTCACTGCCCAACTAAAGTACTATTAATATTTCTTTCTTTCTTTTTTTTTTTTTTTTTTTTGAGACAAGGTCTCACTATGTTGCCCAGGCTGGTCTCAAACTCCAGAGCTCAAGAGATCCTCCTGCCTCAGCCTCCTAAGTACCCGGGATTACAGGCATGTGCCACCACACCTGGCTTAAAGTACTATATCTTATTGAGGTCTAACCTCTATTTCCCCTAGCCCTGTCCTTCCACTAAGCTAGGCAGGTGTAATAATAAAGTGAAAATGTTAACATTTGAATGCCACTTTCCAGGTGTAGAGTGTTTGCACATCATTTAATTCTCATTTCACCATTGTGAAACATGCACAAGTCTTTACAGCTGTCATTCTAGAGTTTAGGTGAGTAACACAATTACAAAGTGAAAGATACAGCTAGAAAATACAAATGCCGGTCTTTCCATCGCCCAAGGAAACATCAAATATGTATGTTTGTTCACCTACTCTTATAGTCAATGTGTTCATCATTTCAGCTTAAAAATAACAGTCTGCCCCTTTAGCCAGTTTTCATGTCTGTGCAAGACCTTTCAATAGGCCTTTCAAACAATAATTCCTCCAGAAAACTAGTCTAAGAGTGAGGACCCCCAACTCTAGCCTCCCCTTGTCTTGCTGTCCTCTGTTTCTCTCTTTTTGCTTTAAATTCAATAAAAGTGACACTGAGCAAATAACCCCATCAGGTTATATTTGCCCACATACCCTAAGCATAAAAGCTTTCTGGGAGTGCTGCTTGTGTTAGGTTTACAGTGAATGATTTCCAACACACTGAGGCCCTTAATAAATATTCTGGAATCTGGACAGAAGTCATACAGCAGGCAAGCGACTCTGCCACAGCAGGCATGCCCTGTGGCACCGAGGGCAGCATGCCTCTTGACAGGGGCTTCCTCAGTGTTTCCCACGTGTTTGTCCAATTCAGCTAAGTTCAAGTCACAAGTGCAGGCTGTGGTGCCAGTCTGTGTCACGTGCTGAGGCCTCTCTCTTTCCAGGTTGGTCACATGAGAAAGTTTGCTTTGTGTGCTTGCAGCTGTTTTCCTGTCTTTGCCAAGCCCAGGCTGGGACCATAGGCAGTGAAGACAAAATGTTTTTTTCCATAGCATTTGAGTAGATCTTTGGCAAAAGGGAATTACTCAACCCATGGATACAGTGTAATTACCCACAGTTCTAACAGAAGGGTACAGAGAGCCCATATCCTTTGTGGAATGAGACAGGTATGAATAAAATAAATGTGATATTACCTGCCCCATTACCCACCTATTTCACAGATATAAGCAATGTAGGCTGCCTCACAGAGGATAATGGGGTAGATTTATCAATAGGAGTGAGTCCTGCAACCATAGTTCCTTTGGAGGCACAGAGGAGAGGTTGCCTGAAATGTGCTTTCTAGATTCCATCTGGGATATGATTTGATGGACAGCTCTGCGGGGCACATCTGCCCCTAACAACTCACCTTGGTAGCTACCTTAAATCCCTGCAGCTTGAATCACTCTTTTAGGTGAAGACATTTTCTCCAGGAAGCCCCTGTTAAGGGACCACTTTGCTTCTTGTGAGCCAGGGCAGGTCAGTATGCCGGCCTGGGAATGGGGTTTCTTTCAGGTGAACTTTTTAGCTCTGGGGTCTTGTTGGATTTAAGTGAAGACTGACATCAACATGACCTACATCAGTGATTCTTAAACTTTGTTGCACATAAGAATCACCTGCGGAGTTTTAAGAGTCCTCATGCCATGGCCATACCCCCAAGACCATTAAATCATAACCTCTGGGGGATGAATCAAGACATCAGTATTTTTAAAGTCCCTTCCCGCAATGTGGTTCCAAAGTGCAAAGAAGCTCCAGAGCCGGTGACTTAGAACATTTAAAAAGGTAATTGTATCGTTTTAAGAACAGGCTAGCAGTTTCTGGGGGCTGAGATAAGGGAGTGGGTCCACTAGGGCAATAAAGTGTGGGGTTTGGAAACGGCCACGAACTCTTGTGAACTGCGGCAGCCTCGGTCTACAAAAGCCTCTCTGCTGCTATTTTAAGGAAGTGAAAGAGAACTGAAGGGTGTCCTGTTGTAACACAACTCTTGCGGGCCCCAGCCTTCCCCTGCTGGCTGTGCTTTGGTCTGCTGCTGGCCAGGTTCCTGCAGTGACCACACGTCTCATATTTGCCAGGGTGGCTTAGGTTCTGTTCACATGTAAAAGTCTCCTGGGCCCACTGGTCACTTCAGACCGCGAGGGTAAATTTGGTTCGAAAAAGTTGTATCCTGTGGAGTTTGTTGACACTCCAGCCTGTAGAGAACTAAAGGCCAGAGCTGTGGTGACTCCTGCCAGAGCTGGGGACTATGCCAGAGTCCCTGGTGTCGCTGCCATCTGAGGCCTACAGGGATTTTAAACAGCTTAACAGCAGCCAGTCCTTGGAGGCCTGGGCAGGGCCACAGCCTAGCAGTACAACCAAAACGGGTTCAGGCCACACACTGGAGGTAGGGGTTGGACCAGGTCTCCAGGGTTCAGTCCTCCCCAGTTCGAGAACCCATTCCTGTGGTCAGACATTGCCAACGCTTTTCTTGGACCTAAGGTCCCAGATCCTTGGTGCTGGGCACAGGGAAATGCTTCCTGACCTCGGCTCTTCGCAAGACAGAACTTTTGTTTGGTGCCAACCACTAGAGGGACCTCCACCACCCCAGGTCGCGAGTGGAGCGCGGCGGGACCTGGGGTGATTCGGGGCTTTCCGACCTGCTTAGGGAGGACGGCTCAGAGACCACCTCAGTTTTGCTGGGATCCCATGCGGCCTGAGGAAGTCGGGATGCTTCGAAGGGTTGCTGCTCTGGGTGTGCCTCTAATGTGGGTTTTCTATGCTTTCTCCCTTTGCAATTCTCGACACAGTTTCCTTCTTCCTCGCTTTCATTCCCTGTGACCGGAGAACGGCGCTGAAGGGCTGGAGAAGCCCAGGATACTAGCAGCCAGAGCGCTGGGGACCCCCCCGGGCCTCCCAGCAACCGGAGCTGTGCGGAGGAGGAGGTGCGGCTGGCGGGGCGGGGCGGGGCGGGGCGGGGCGGGGCTCCCGGGAGGGGGCGCGGTCCGCCGAGAGACTCCGGGCTGGTGCCGGGACTCGCGGCCCAGAGGGTGGGGACTAGGCAGGTTCGAGGGGCGGGGCTGACCAGGCCGGTCCCCGGGGAACAGGAACTCTGGCGGACGGGTCCCAGCAGGCTTCCTCGGTGCCCGAGAGGGAGCGGGTTCCCGAGAGGGTGGTCCCCGTGGCAGGTCCCGGGGTGGGGGCGCGGCGCTCCGGGAAGAGCCTCCCTCAGGTCCCCGCCCCGTCACGTGGGCGCCGGCCCCGGCCGCTGCGGTCGGTCCGCTGGTTGGTCGGGCGCTTGGTCCGGCAGTTGGTCGGTGGGCCAGTGGCTTGTCGCTCGCTTCTGGGCTCTCATGTTTGAAGGTGGGAGGGACACGGGAGCGGCCCGCACACCTGAGTCGCCCGGAGAGGAGCCGCGGCCCCGCACCCAGGTCAGTGGGCTTTCCCAACACCCCGGGCTCGCCGCGCGGTCGGGGTTGGGATCCCCGTCGGGAGCATTGCCTGGGGAGTGGAGCGCCCCCAGAGCTACGAACCACGGGGGCGTGTGGGTCAGTGTCTCCGTGAGCCCCGGAGCGTGTCCCAGGCTCGAGGACGGGGACTCCACTGGCCAGAAGCCTGGGAGGAGGGCAGAACTCCTGTGGGTTGGCTGCGAATCTCCACCCCACCCTGCCTGGGATCAGCGGACAGTCCGCACTCCTGCAGGTGCCAGCGTGGCCCTGGAGATGCGCAGGGAGGTGGGGTCCCTGAGTTCTGTGCGGCGCGTCTCAGCCCTGCTCAGCCCGGGGAGCAGCTGCGTGGACTAGGGAGCCTAAGGAGGTTGCGGAAGCTTTAGGTCTGTCCAGCCCAGGCAATTCTCTGTTGGACACAGCGTGTGTCTAGATGCAACGCCTCGGCTAAAGCCAGTTCTGTAGTGTAAGTGCAAAAATACAGCACGCTTTTCAAAATCTAAAACCACTGCCTCCCCGTAGATTGCAGGATGGGGACGGTCCTATTTAAAAGTGGGCTCTTCACCTCATCACATCAGACTTAAGACCCGCAGATTTTCCTCGGATGAAAATAAGATTATGTAACTAGAGAACAGAACTTCCAGCATTTGGGTAGGATTAAGACAGGCATTTTTGCCAGTGTTTAATCTTCTTAAAAAACGAATCTAATTATATTTTTACTTTTAGAGCAACCGGATAATTGGTATAGATCCGTCTCCTTTTTCTATATTTTGGTCTATTTCCTGTCTTTCTCTTCATCTCTCTTCTGTCTTTCTCTTCATCTCTCTCTTTTCTCAACCCCTCCTTAATTGATTATAATACAAATCTGAAGTTTTTTTCAAATTTTATAGTGTATTATGTGAAGTTAAATGGTCAACTACAGAAAAGTAGTGGGCTTTAGACATAATTCATCTTCAGCATATTCAGTCTTTCATTATTATAGGTGTATGGAAAACTCTAAGTGTTATCTAATTTAGAAATTATTTCTCTCTTTGGCTTAAAAGAGGCAACCCATTTGCACTTTGCTTAAATTAATATCTAAATAACATTGAAGTGGGAGATGGGGATGATTGATGAGGTTTTCACTGATTGCATATATCCATGTTTTATTTAACATATTTCAATTATTAGTAATACTATTTTAAGATTTGGTGATGTGACAGTTGTTAGCTTATTGCTACTGGAGAGACAAGCTGCTTACCATCATGATGCCTTCTTTACTGGGTAGCTAAAGGAGATGCGCTTTGACTTTAAGATTAAGTGGAATGAGATCAATGACATGAAGACGGTAGGAACAAAGTTATGGGAATTCCTGTCTTTCATCTGAGTGGGAAATCTGGGATAATTTTAAGAAAGGGTGATGTGATGGACCTCAAAGGATCCCTCCTGGGTTTTTCAAGGCAGAAAAGGGTAGAGTGTGGCCTGGGCTGTGACAACTGTGTGGGCAGGCAGGCATGGACTCACCATGAGAAGTGGTCAGTGGTCCAGCTTGGCTCTTATGTTGAGTGCTAGACAGTAAGACGGGTGATAAGGCTGGAAAATGGCGCCAGCTGTCCAGTGCAGAAGTCTGGACTTGGTCTGAAGGCACAGCAGGGGACTGACTGATGGTTCTGTGAACTTCTCAAAGTCAAAGACCTTGGTCCTTAACCCTCCCAATTCCTAGCCTGATACAGAGAAAATCCAGTAAATATTTGTGGAGTGCATGATGTGACAACACTGTAGAGCAGAGCTTCTCAAACTTTAACAAGTTTGAGAATCATGCAGGCATCTTGTTCAAATGCAAATTACAATTCCATAGGTCATGGGTGGGACCTGACATTCTGCGTTTCTAACAGATTCCCAGGAGCTTGCTGATCATTTCCCTATGTATAGCAAGAATTTAGAATAGCAGTTTGCAAACTGCCTCATAATCTGGGGAGTTTTGTAAAATGTCCAGATTAAGTACTCTGGGATGTTTTTACCAAGTTCCCCCAGGTGATTCTGTTGACAAATCCGAAGGCCACTGCTGCAATGGCAAAGTTCTGGCAGTGTGGTGGGAAGCAAAGTCCAAGGGAAAAAGACAGTGGGGGCGGTGAGGCTGGATAGGAAACTGGGAGGCTGATTCAGGGTGGAAGGGATGAGGCCTTATTTTGGGC